GGTGAAGTGTCTTGCCCAAGGACACAGCGACCGAGACTGTCCGAGCCGGGGCTCGAACTGGCAACCTTACGATTACAAGGCAAACTCCCAACTCTTGAGCCACGATCGCCCCATAGTTGTACAGTTGTATTTTCTTTCTTTATTTCATTTTTACATACTGTTCCTTTAATACATGGTAACTGTGCACGGGGGGAGCGTTCGCGACTGGCAATGTGGAGTGACGGGGCTATAACTAGCTGTGGAGTCAAACAGTTTTCTAACCATGTTTGCAGTGTACAGGAACATTCAAACGGATTACTGTATTTCAAGACTGTGGAAATAAATGTTTGCCTGTTTGTTTTTCAACTACAAGCGGACAAAGACACGCGTATGGCCCGACTACCAGCTAGTGCTTCCGCGGTATTATCACCAATTAAATGACAGTCAGAAGAAGAGATGGCACAGTGTGTTTATTTTATCCCTGTGTTTAAAAATGAGGGAAGATGAGCATAATTGGATAGAAAACTACTGATGAAGATAGTGGTAACATTATTTATTAATATTTACCGTCCTGATCTAAATGAAATTTTGAAAGGTTTAGGTTGAACGCAAAAGCAGATAACAGGAAAGTCTTTGTTTTTATCTCGAAGAGCTAATGAACATTATTGCCTAGGCTGAGAAATACTAAGTGCTGGATGGCAAGGTGAGAAGCTGGGGGTTTTGGGTTACTGTTGAGCAGATGGGTTTTCTTGCACATAGGAACAATGGATAATTTAACTGGTAACCAGGCAAATCTTTTTTGGTTATCTACAGAACACAGCAAAAATGTTAAGTTATGGGACAGTTTTATTTTGGTGTTGTTCTGTAAGGATCTGGTCAGGTGATCACTCCAGCAACACTTGAAAGACTAGGAAACATCTTTATTAGCAGAACAACGTGTTTTGGCTTGTGGCCTTCATCTTGGTCATTACAAAATACCAAACATCGTTCTGTAAGGACAATAATAATAATGATAATAATGGATTGCATTTATATAGCACTTTTTGAGACCCTCAAAGTGCTTTACAATTCCATTATTCAGTCACTCTCACATTCACACACTGGTGGAGGCAAGCTACAGTTGTAGCCACAGCTGCCCTGGGGCAGACTGACAGAATCA